AAGCTTGAAATTAAACTTTCTCGTATATACACATGAGAATATTCTCGGAAATTTTAGAACTCTACATGTACATTGTTGAGATTTGAAAGTCAATGACCGGTTGACATACTTTACTTCGACGTTTTTGACATACCACATCGTAATTAATTCACTATTCACTCAAACTTAACCTTGTTATATATATATATATAGAAAAAAAAAGAAAAAAAATGTATATATACATTTTTTTTCTTTTTTTTTCTTCCCTGTAAAACTAGTTTCAACCACACATAAACGCCCCGTGAGTGGCGTCTTCAGTATTCGAATATTTCGAGTCCATTTAGTTTCATAGTTTCTTCCATTAGAAAAAAAGTTAACTGCATTTTTAAAAAAAAGGTTTGTCAAATTATGTTACCACTTAAAAAAAATTATTTGATTTAAATAACCAATTACTTGTCTATTATCTAATAGATATTTAATTGCATCAAATAATTTTTAATTTCAATCAAGTAAATTGTATTTGAAAAAAATTTCAGTATCGAAACCAAAGACCTCTCTTTTTAGTCATTTTTTTCTAAAATTTTAGTAAAGAAAACTATAATCTCTAAACAAAATAGTAATATTTTAATATAAAAATTATTTTGACTTTTACTTTCAAATTAATTATTTTTTAATTGATTAAAATTAAAATTTAAAGAGTAATAATAATAAATAATAATCAATAAAAAATTGATTGTGTCATGACGTGCTCATAAAATAATAATTAAATCCGTCAATTTTAATTCAACTTTTCCTACTGAGTAATTAATAATTCTATTCATTTTTTATTCAGATTACAATACAAAGTAGTATAATATGTAATTTAAATTTCTTCAATTATTTATTTGATTAATGTATGAATCAATTACATACTTAAAAGAAAAAGATACATTTTGCGTTTTACACTATGAATTTTAAATTAAAAATTTAAATTTAAATAAACGATGATAAATTTATAATCATTTAATTTTTTTTTCTTTTTCGATATGGCGAAAACGTGAATAGAAAATGTTTTTGTTACTTCTCTTGAAATTAAATGTATCGATGCACGTGTTTCTGTTTTTTTCTTTTTTTGACAATAACTTGACAATTCTTTGCTTCCCCTTTTAGATGCTTATTGAAGAAATAAAATAAAATATTACGTTCAAATTATCAATTTGAATAGATTATTTTTATTTCTTTTATTTCTATAGTTCAAAAAACTTGAACCGATGACATTTTATTTCTTCTATTTCACTCATTGAAAATTCATGTATTACAAATGCGATAAAAAATTGAAAATTTTGAATATTCGAATAAAAAAACAATAGAATAATTTAATATTTAATTTTAATATTTAATTTCGTAAAAAGTAATTAAATAGAAAAATTGAAATTTAAAAAAAAATTGAATTTGAAATTAAATTTAAAATTTAATAAATTTATAATAAAAAAAACTGGTAGTAGATTAATAATAGTTTTAAATAAAGATAAATAAAACTATTGACATTTAAATTAAATATTTTATTAATTTAAATTACCGTTTAATATTTAAATGGATTATTAAAAATATTTTCAAATTTTTCGAGGGAGAAAACTTGAGATTAATTTTTCATTAAAATATCATTGACAATTTTTTTTTATTTTGCACCCGCAAAAGAGTGAAAGTTTTTTTCTCATTTAGATAAAGAATTAAATTTGCTTAATGGCCATTTAAAAAGTTGTTGACACTTTTTCTAAATGTAATTCTCTCGTTTATATTTTTTCTTTCTTTTCCTCTCTGTTTCATTCTTTGTAAGAAGAAAAGTTGTGCGCTTTTTTTTGTATAAAATGGAGAAAAAAGAGGAAGAAGGATAAAATCGCAACTGTGTGGAAAGAGAAGAGAAAAAAATAGGAAGAAGTAGAAAGAGAGAGAGAGAGAGAGAGAGAGAGAGAGAGAGAGAGAGAGAGAGAGAGAGAGAGAGAGAGAGAGAGAGAGAGAGAGAGAGAGAGAGAGAGAGAGAGAGAGAGAGAGAGAGAGAGAGAGAGAGAGAGAGAGAGAGACAAAAAATTATCCACGGGTATATAAAGGAAAAAAAGAAGAAGAGGAGAAGACTCATCATCAATAATACAAGTATAACGGGTTTTCATGTAATGGGGACGGGTCCTCGGCCTTCCTCCTACTTCGTGACTTGGTGACCGCAAAAGGCCGGGACGCTGACCTAGAATCTAAACCAGAATCCGTTTCTCGACCATCGTCTGATCTTTTCCCTTACATTACGCATAATGCTCGCCTCTGCAAAATCCACTTTTACACCAGAAATAGAGAGAGAAAGAGACGAATAGAGACGAATTAAGTAATATATTCTCTCCCCTCAAAAAATGTTTTCTTATTTCTTTTCTTTACCGAAAAATTAATTTCCTCGGAATTGGATAATATATTATTTTTTTATTTATAGTTATTCAAAATTCACTTTTAGACGAGAAATAGGTAAATAGGTAAATCGATAATACACTGTAAAAAAAGGGAGTTAAATTTTAACTTCCCAGGGGATTCTATAAAAGTCGCACCCATTGGAGAGTTAATGCCAGGGGAGTTAAATAAAGAGAGTTTAAATTTCACACCCAAATGCTAACTCCCCAAAGAAAAAATAACTCGCGCGGGTGTTGAATGAAGGGAGTTAGAAATTAACTCTCTTTTGGAGTTGATTTTTAACTCGAAAAATTTAACTCCCGAGTCCGTTAACTCCCTAAATTTTTTACAGTGTAATATTTATCAAAATTTAATAAGTAGAAATTATCTTTCCCCGTATACCGAAAATTAATTTTCGTCAGAAAAAACCAATGGAAAAAATAGTTTTTTATAAAAGAAAAAAAAACAAAAAATGCTGACATAATAAATATCCAAAAGTTGCAAGAAATTTTGACAGAAAATATTTTATAAACTAAAACAAATATGTATTATTGATAATAATAAATAATCAATTATTAAAAAATTAAAATTATTTTTTATTAGTTATTAATAAAAATGAAAATTATAAATTATTTTTTAATAGGTGGCGTAATTTGAATTTGAAAAAGAAATAAATGAATTACGTTCATTTGAACGTTCAGAAACTTTTAGAGACATTTCAATTTTGACAATAATTAATTTTGAATATACTAATAATAATAATTTTTCAATGCAAAATAAAACGTTTCCATATCTGCATAGAAAATTCTCGTTCTGTAGAAAGGAGTTCGTGAAAGGAAAATCCCCCCAATGGGAATCCATACAAAATCGTGTAATACTCCGGCTTTGCCTGTTTCCATTTTTCTTATGGGAATCCATATAAAATTCTATGGTATTTTAGGTGACGAGGGAGCGAACTCTTTTCTTTTCATTTTAAACACTGTTTTATATCAACAAACAATTGAAAGAAAATTTTCTTTTAAGAAAAAGTATTTTGTAATTTTCTTTCTTATTGCAAGAAATGAAGAATTCAGAATTTATTTTCTGCGTCCTAAAGAAATTTTATAATCTCAATCGAATTTTCTTTTTGTTCAATAATTTTCTTTCGTTAGAAATTTAATTATAAAATTATTGAATTATGATAAATATTATCAAATTTTAATAAATTTATTGAAATCCGGACAATTTAATTTTTCAGTGGAAAAAAAACAGTGGGGAAAATATTTTTTATTTTATTTATTAAATGTTGATAAAATATTTTAAATTTTTCCCCATTTTTTCAGTTTTAATTTACGAAAATTTATATAAATATTTATTATCATAAGTAAAAAGTAATAAAATATTAAAATCCGAACAAACTAATTTTTCGATGAAAAAAAAATAGTGGGGGAAATATTTTTTATTTTACTTATTAAATTTTCCTGAAATACACGGAGAGAAAAAAAGTAAGCGGCTCTACCTGTCGGTAGAGCGGTTGCGTTAAATGCGAAACAGCCGTTCAACTTGAGGTTAAGCACGCTGCTTACTCTCGAGGGGAGAACGGTTCTCCTTTTTGGGAAAAGCGGGTACACTTTTTGGAAAGTAAGCGGCTCTATTTGTGTGGAGAAGAGAACCGATACTCCTCAAAAAGTATAACCGTTCGACGTTTGCGGCGCAACTGCTGCGCTTTATAAAGGGAAAACAGCGCTCTCTTGCCAAATCAAACGGCTCACTTTTTTTTCTCTCCGTGTAGTTGAAATTTTCTCACATTTTTTCAGTTTTAATTTACGAAAATTCATATAAATATTAATATAAGTAAAAAAAATCAATAAATTTTTGGGTGGAAAAAAAATAATGAGAAAAATATTTTATATGAAATTTTGAGAATTAAAATTGAAAAAATGAGAGAAAATTTGAAATAATATTTATCAAAATTTAATAGTAGTACCTAGAATAAAAATTATTTTTTATTTGTTTTGATGATTTTTTCTAAATTGAATAAAAAATTGTTTTAGCGAAAATAATAAATGAAAATTCATAATAATTTATTTTTGTTCCTTATGCGTGTAATTATATAGACGATTACATAAGAGTTATATCCGTTATTTTATAAAGAGTTTAAAAAGCACTGTAGTGATAAACATTAATAGGTAGCGAGGCATTTTCTGCGTTATGTATTTATAAGTATGAGAGAAAGAGATGGAGAGAATTTCTAAAGATCATTTTGCCATGTGTGACAATACATCTGTCGATTACAAAATAATAATTTTATTCAAGGTGAATCTATACATTACAAGACTTACAAAAGCCTTGAATTCATCTTTCAAGCAACATCACTTGTTCAATTTATTGTCTTTATTAAATTGACAATCAAATAACTTTTGAGATTGTTTTAAGATAAATGTCCCAAAAATATTCTTGAGAGTAAAATTTTTTTTTGTAAATTCAATTTTTAGTGAGTAATAAAATGAATATTAATAAAATATTGAATAAAAAAATAGTCATTATGAAAATTTGTAAAATACTCCTTAATTAAAAATTAAAAATTTCTTTCCTGTAAATAGAAATTAAAATAGTTTTTTTTCTGATTTCAGGAAAGGAGAGCATACTGATTCGAAATGAATTTAAACGCTTCCACGTGTCCGCTTGCCAAATCTAGGAAAGGCGACAAACTGAAACATCTAGAAACATATAACGATTGTCTTCTTCTCTGAGAATATCTTCCAAAGAACAAACAAAAAATAGCAGAAGGAACATTTTGCTCGTTTCTCCTGTTAAGCAAAAAAAAGGTCGACTTCTTCTCGTCTCTTTTTGTCATTTATTGCAAAAAAAATCAAAGAATTCTAATTGCTTCCTTTTTATTGACAAACGTCGTCAGCTTTACTATTTTTGACTAATTAATTTTCACTGAAACGCTTCCAAAGAAAATAAAAGACGCATCAAAGAAAATATGGCTACAATGGCTTGTGGAGAGTACACATCTGTTAAAGACTTTTATCGAGATCGATCAATTTTCATCACTGGAGGCACTGGCTTCATGGGCAAAGTCCTCGTTGAGAAATTACTGAGGTCCTGTCCCGGAATTAAAAATATCTATCTTCTTATGCGACCCAAAAAGGGACAAAACGTTCAGCAAAGGTTACAGGAACTTCTCAATGCGCCCGTGAGTAGATTTATTATTAATTATTTAATCTCATAGTCGTTTTTTTGAAAATTAAATATTCGAAAATTAATCTCTAAATTTTAATTTCAAAATTAGTTTTTAATTTTAAAAATGAACCGTTAATTTCAAAACGAGTCGTTAATTTTGAAAATTAATTTTTATTTTTAAAAATAAAACGTTAATTTTAAAATACAGTAGCTCATGAATATGTCATAAAAATTATTGGTTGAAATAATTATTTAAGAGAATTGTTTTAGATGTAATTTTTAAATCGTTAAATCTTTAAGTTTTCGAATTTAAATTAAACCGAATTTTTCTCTAGGAAAAATTTTACTTGACAGTATAATATAGTAGATGTAGTAAAATTTTTTTGCATAATTTCAATTATTTTCAATACAATTTTAATAAAATTTCACGAAAAGATTCAATTAATTTCTAAAATTTTAATAAATTTTTCGAAACGATTGAATTATTTTTATAATAAGACTCCGTCAGAAAAATTACAATTTGCATGGGGTCTTCGGATTATTCTGTAATTTGGTGAAGTTGTTATATTTGATAACAAAAATAAGTGTACCAAAGGATTTTTAAAAATTTTCAAAATTGTAAAAGTTACGCCATTTTGAATTTTTTTATAAGATTTTTTTCAAATGTGAATATTTCCGAAACAATTTAACGGATTTGAATAAAATTTAAATATGTTATAGTTAAAATCATGTCCTTTCAGAATTTTTCAGAAGAAAAAAAAAATTTTTGTTTTTTTCCAAAAAAAAGTAAAAAAAAATTTTTTGAATCGATTTATTAAGCACGGGACCGATTTTTGAGTATTTTTCGATATATAATAAAATATTCCTTATAATTTCACCTTTCATTTACAAAAAAGAATTTTTGTGGAAGCGCGACCGCGTTTCAGTGCCAGCGCAGTATCTTTTACCCGGGACGCCTCACAGTGGGATTTTTTACACTTTACTCTTCAAAATTGTCTAGAACCTACAAATTTTATTGGATTTTGATGTTCTTGGTCTTAAATGAAAGAGGATAAAATTTCTAAGAGATCTCTTCAAACCGATTTTTGAATTTTTAATTGTTTATTTATTTTTTTGTTACTCAAAGTTAACAATTTAAAATATTTTTGTATAAAATACTGTTTATTTTTTATTTTTCCATTGCACAAGATCGAAATCAATTTAAATTAGTCTAGTCTGACCACCTGACAAATAATAATGCATAATACAGTTTATTTAAATTATTAAAAAAAACAATTTAAATTAACAAATAGATAACTTTGGTCTTTTTTTAAAAAATTGTTTTTTTTGTAGACAAATTTATGTTTATTTAAGTAATGTATGTCTATTTTAAAAAAAAAATGATTTGAAAGTTAACAATTATCATTGTTATTAATAATTGTATAACCAATAATCTATTTTCTTTTGTAAAAGATACTGCGCTGGCACTGAAACGCGGTCGCGCTTCCACAAAAATTGCAATATCTCGAAAACTATCAATGTCTCCATCGTTTTCTTTTTTGTAAATGAAAGGTGAAATTATAAGGAATATTTTATTATATATCGAAAAATACTCAAAAATCGGTCCCGTGCTTAATAAATCGATTCAAAAATTTTTTTTTTTACTTTTTTTTGGAAAAAAACAAAAATTTTTTTTTTCTTCTGAAAAATTCTGAAAGGACATGATTTTAACTATAACATATTTAAATTTTATTCAAATCCGTTAAATTGTTTCGGAAATATTCACATTTGAAAAAAATCTTATAAAAAAATTCAAAATGGCGTAACTTTTACAATTTTGAAAATTTTTAAAAATCCTTTGGTACACTTATTTTTGTTATCAAATATAACAACTTCACCAAATTACAGAATAATCCGAAGACCCCATGCAAATTGTAATTTTTCTGACGGAGTCTTACCCAAATAATATTTTTATCCAGAACAATTTTTTAAACTACTACTTATTAATTTATAATAAATTATGCTACATTCCCAAGCAAAATTTTATACATTTATTATTTAATCTTTTTTCTAAGGAAAATTTGACTACATAAAACACATTAAGTATCAAATAATTAATTACTGTAACATTACCTGTAATGTAATATTACCTGTAATTACCTGTAATCAATATTACTTTAACATTACAGGTAATGTTACAGTAATTAATTATTTGATACTTAATGTGTTTTATGGATTGGGGTACAAAAGATCCAATCTGAAAGGTCCAAGACGAAAGGTCCAATCCATACACAGAAAAAAATAAGTCTTGAATAAAGTCTACAAACGAGCTAATTTTAAGATGTAACAAAAAGTAGTCATCCTAGACTCAAAATTAGTTTGTAAAAAGAGTCTTAAAAAAAGTCGGTACTCAGGCTTGAATGAAGTCGCTATGTAGTCTTAAAAATAGCCGATAGCCAAAAAGTGGACTTAAAAGTAGTTTCCTTTTAAACTTCAATTTACTCGCAAGTCAATATAGTGACTAAAATAAAGCTTTCTTAAATACTTAAAAGTAGTAAATAATACAGTTCAAATTTATTTTTCTATTGAATATAAAGTTATAGTTATTAACTATATCAGGAGATGCCGGTAACAGATTTTAATATAAGCATCTGTAAGAAAAGTTAAATTAGCTATTTAAAATAATAAAATGAAATTATTTATTTATTCTTTTATTATTGAGGTTTAATTTTTCATCTACTTTCATGATGACATTTGTTAACATGTACCTTATAAGTGTCATTATTTAATAATAGACAAGAAATCGGTTAATTGAATCAAATTCATTTCAGTTCAGTGTAACTATGCTTGCACATAATATAATAAAAACTTTTCATACATATTTGTTTTAAATTTATCTTCTATGTATAAATATAAACGAGTTGTAACAATATATAAAAGTCACCATTTTGTATAAGCATTTCGATACTTTTCGATTTTTACTGCGCAACTTTTTCTCTGAATAATATTGTAGCAATGAATTTATTTATTTATTTTTTTATTTTATTTATTCGGTACACAAAAATATGAAAATCTATAGGTGATTAACAGATAAAGGAAACACGTACACTCAAGGCAACGCCACGACAACTAATGACACGTCACCTGATCACGCCCAAGCGCGTCTCCCCTTCCAGAGGACTATAGACGCTAGGGGACTAAAAACTAGTCTACATTTCGAATTCATTTTATCTGTTGAGTTCTTAAAGTTTCTACTAGTCTCGCTGAGACTACATTTAAGACTCACATATAAAATTAAGTCATAAATATTTATTGCTTTAAGATTAAGGCGTGTTAACAATACTCTTAAGTTAATTATGAGGCTAAAATATCGTTACAGACTAAAATTAAGCCTGATTTTAAAATTAGCCCTTCACAGTTTTAAGACTTTTTTTTCTGTGTAAGGTCCAAAAATTTATTTATCCAAAGTACAAAAAATCCAAGAGTACAAAAAGTCCAAAATTGCAAATTGTCCAAAATATGTATAATTACACAGGCCTGCAAATTTTGGCTTAGTTCTGTTACAGAAAAAGTGGTAGGTGATTCTTATAGCTTTTTTGACGTAGAATACGAATCCGATTTCCAAAATGGCCTATCACGTCAGGATTTCTTGTAATATTGACTTAAATAGCCAAAAAATGGCTATTTTGGCCACTTTTCGGAATTTTTTTTGGTTAACCAAAATTTTTTTTCAATTTGCGAAATTGCATCGTATAGTACTATATCTAAGCTTTAAAACCCATTTTTCAAAATTGCTTTACGTTTTTTTAAAAAAAAGTTATGTAGATTTGAAATTAAATGCCATTTTGAACTTCTTTATACCTACATTTGTCTAAATAAAAAAATTTCAAATATACATAACTTTTTTTTAAAAAATCGTAAAGCAATTTTAAAAAATGGGTTTTATAAGGAAGCAATAAAAACAATAGAACATATATTTTTTTGCACTTTTTATCTTTTTGAATTTTTAAATTAAAAAAAATGAAATAAAAACAATAGAAAATATATTTTTTTTGTTTGGACTTTTTGCCCTTTTGGATTTTTAATTTTTTGGATCTTTTGATTTGGACCTTTTGTACCAGAACGAGTTACCGTATGCCTTATACCGCAAACATTTCAACTTGTAGAATTCGCAAACGGTTGAATGAAATTAAGCAAATTTGAAACAATGGTTTATTAATTTAACAATAAATATTCTTATATTTTAGCAGATACTAATAATAATCACAGAATTCGTTATTAATCTATTAATATATTTATTTAGTGCTTTTATTTAGTACCTAATAACATTTAATTTTTTTTTTTATGAAAATAGTAATTATTTTTAAAAGAACTATTAGTATTTGGTCTAAACCATTTTTAATTCCTGCGGTTCTCCTTTAACTTGAAAAGCACGATTTGTTACTTTACATAATATTTTTAATGATAATAACGACCCACGGTATTTGGCGCACAAGTTGAAAACGTTATTCAATTACCGTGTTGATAAAATAAAAATAAAAATACGTTGAATCATAATTTACCACGAAGTTTTGACTTTAAAAATACATTAATTAATCGAATATACAAAAATTTACAAGTTTAAAAGTATTAATAATAAAAAAAGCGATTTATATAAAACACGTACAATATGAAAGTAACTATTTGAATTTTTTGGGTTAACAAATTAAGTCATAAATGACAAAATTTGCCAAAAATAGCGAAACCACGGTAACTCATGCACCCACGGTAATACCCACATTTACTCTACAAATTTTTCTTCTTAATTTTTAACCCAAGTAAACCCTCCAAACGCTAAAATAAAAGAAAGATGGGGAAACAGTACTTAGTTTTTATTTTTTTGTCACAGATTTTCCGAAAATCCAAGAATTTCAAGTAAATTAATAATTCTTTGCCCGGTAGCAATTTTTTTCTTTTCATAAATATTTATTCTAATGTCAGAAGCCTTTTAAAAAAATTGCAAGTGATTCTAAGTCGGGGAAAGCAGTGATTTTG